AGTGCATCTTTCCTAGTCGGCTCCTCCACCACTCCCGCTGAGGGGGGCTGCCGGCCCCCGCTGCCGCCCACCAGCCCCCCCCACTCCTGCTCCTCCGCCTCCTCCTCCTGGCCACCCCACTGCAGCCCAGCAGAGGTCTCTATCTGTGCACCAGCGGCAGCACCACATCCTATGAAGAATGCCTCCTCATCCACAGCAAGTGTGCCTGGTCCTCCAAGGAGGAGTTCGGCAGCGCAAAGTCCATCACGTCGCAGTGTGACTTCCCGCAGAACCTGATTGCAAATGGTTGTGCCAGAGTCATCGAAAACCCCATCAGCAGCATCAGGGTGGTGAAGAATGTCCCTCTGAGCAGCAAAGGCTCTGGCCAGACTCACCTGGATGTCACACAGATCATGCCTCAGAAGGTTGCCTTGAATCTTCGTCCTGGTGACCAGACCTCCTTCTGAGTTCAGGTTCAGCAAGTGGAGGACTATCCCGTGGAGCTCTACTATCTGATGGATCTCTCCCTGTCCATGAACGACGACCTAGATAATATTTGCAATCTGGGGACCAAGCTAGCAGAAGAGATGTGAAAGCTCACCAGCAATTTCCGGCTGGGGTTTGGCTCTTTTGTGGACAAAAACATTTCCCCTTTCTCCTACATGGCACCAAGATACCAAGACAATCCCTGCATAGGTTACAAGCTGTTCCCCAGCTGCGTCCCATCCTTTGGCTTCCGCCACCTCTTGTCCCTGACAGACAAAGTCGACCGTTTCAACGAAGAAGTTCAGAAACAGAAAGTCTCCCGCAACCGAGATGCTCCAGAGGGCAGTTTTGATGCAATTTTGCAAGCTGCTGTGTGCAAGGAGAAAATTGGCTGGCGTAAGGAGGCATCTCACCTGCTGGTCTTCACGACGGATGATGTGCCTCACATAGCCCTGGATGGGAAGCTGGCGGGGCTGGTGCAGCCCTATGACGGCCAGTGTCACCTGAACGAAGCCAGTGAGTACAGCACGTCCAGCCAGCTGGATTATCCTTCCCTGGCACTTATTGGGGAGAAACTTGCTGAAAACAACATCCATCTGATTTTTGCTGTTACGAAAAGTCATTATGTCCTGTACAAGAACTTTACCACCTTGATTCCTTGGACAACAGTGGAGATTTTGCACAAAGACTCCAAGAACATCATCGAGCTGATCATCAAGGCCTACAACAGTATTCAGTCCAAGGTGGAGCTCACAGTCTGGGACAGCCCTGAGGACATCAGCTTGACCTTCACTGCCACGTGCCAGGATGGGATGTCCTATCCCGGGCTCAGGAAGTGTGGGGATCTCAAAATAGGAGATATGGTTTCCTTCGAGGTGGCTGTGGAGGCGCGGAGCTGCCCTGCCAAGGACATCTCCCATGCCTTCACCATCAAGCCCGCCAGCTTTCGGGACACGCTGGAGGTGGTGGTGACCTACAGCTTCCTCTGTGGGTGCACCGGCCACGCCGTGCCGGCCAGCAGCAAGTGCAGCGGCAACGGGACCTACGCCTGTGTGCTGTGCGAGTGCGACGCTGGCTACCTAGGCGCCAAGTGCGAGTGTGAGGAGGGAGCCAGCGGGGAAGTGCACCAAGCCATGTGCCGGGAGGCAGAGGGCAAGCCCCTCTGCAGTGGGAGAGGGGACTGCAGCTGCAACCAGTGCCTCTGCTATGAAAGCCAGTTTGGAAACATCTATGGACCCTTCTGCGAGTGCGATGACTTCTCCTGTGCCAGGTACAAGGGAGTCCTCTGCTCAGGCCACAGAGTGTGTCACTGTGGGGAGTGCAAATGCCACACCGGTTACATTGGGGACAACTGTAACTGCTCCACTGAGATGGACAGCTGTGTTTCCAGCGATGAGCAGATGTGCAGTGGCCAGGGCAACTGTGTCTGTGGGAAGTGTCAGTGCACTGAGCCGGGGGCTTTCGGAGAGAAACAATATTAAGCTCCTTTCCCTCTTCTCAGCCCAGGAGAGGAAGGTTTTTGTCCAAATGTTCCCTTTTCCGATACCTTTTCCCTGGTGTTTTGTTTCTAGAAAGATGCTTCTATAGAGGAAAAGTTTGCTGAAAGTTACAGTGGTTACTAACGAGTCATTAGGAAAGTGCTGCTGCAATGCTGGCTGCTAGCTGATGCTAGCAGCAGTGCCCCAGCTGGCTGCCTGCTGCTTGCCTGAGACAGTCTTGGGAGTTACTCTATGCAAATGAACAAATTGAAGTTTAATCCCATGAAATCTCTCCAATTGTTACCGTTCTTATATATTATCCTTCATCTGAATCCCATCATACATGCATGGCATTACAGTGGTACTGCAGTGTCAGTGCAAAACGCAGCAGACATCAAAGTTCTCCAAGAATTGAACCCCTTTGCATTGTCAGGCTAATGGCCACATTGCCCAATTGCACTCTTAGTGCATATCAAGTGTGTTCATATGAGAATTAAAGCAGAGGAGCTAATGTTCTGCTAAATCCCACCATGAATTAGTGCACACAACCATCCCACGCAGATGAAAGCAAATAAGAGCAACTGAAATAAACTACTTTCTTGCTAATGAGGATCTGGAATCTGAAACTGATGTTCATCTATAGCAGGGAGGAAATTTTGTACCCAAAACCACCAACTTCAGGTTTTATTTAAGCCATTACATTTATTTAAAAATTGAAGAGATTTATCTTCTTTTTTTTTTTAATAATTAATTGTGGAATTGTTGAGGCAACAGCCAGAAATGTAATCAGTAAAAGTCTTATATCTCTAAGAGAGTCTTATTAAAAGATCTATTCATAGATTTTTGAAATTTATCTTACTTTAAATCAATTTGAAAGTGACTAGCAGCACATTATTTTCTATTTTTACTAATTATAACTGAAGAGCAATATTAGGATGAGACAGCAATAAATATAGCTTGTTGAGCAGCATGTTGCCATTATTTTATAAAGCTTAAGTTGTGCCAAGTTAATAGATGGAACTTAGAGCATGTGGAAAAAACAGATTTTGTTAACCTTTGCTGTGCTACTAGGTGAAGACCATTGCTATTTCATAAAAAAAATGCTCTGGTTACATAATTTTTTCGGCGGTAGTCAAGGAGTTAACAAAAATCTGGAATGTGCTTTTTTAAAGATCATGAACACATTCAAACTACTTTTATCCTGGAAGTGATTCGGTGCATCTGATCTACTGTGGTACAGAACTGGAGGAGCTGTCATATACAGTAACTGAATGGTTTGAAGGGAAAAACATTTCCAGCTGTAATGTGCAACAGTTTCCATATAACTTGGAATATATTTAGTAAATGATATTTTTCATGAGAAAGGAGTGAAGTTGTATCACAGAATTGAATGACAGCCAATGAATATATACTAAAACTAGGATTATAAATTTATTATTGAGGATTTGACAACCGGATTTTCTGAATTATGAGCTCCATCCTCCAATTACTGAACTAACTCTTTTTTCTTTCTGTATCATGAGCATTAATAAAGTTTTGGGTTTGAGTGGAAGACTTTTGTTGAAGTAATTTTTCCGTTGCCTACACCACCTGTACTTAATATACTTTGGGAAGGTTCCAACAGGCGACTGGCTAGATGATGGTAAATTCACAAACCTACACAATTTAATAAGATTTGACAGAAGAACAAGGGGTCCAGCATTGAAATTAATTGTACCATGCAGATACACATCTGTAGACTCACAGTACTGGAGATCCCTTGAATCACAGCCCAGTAAAGTTCTGGCTGTCAAACTTCCATGTGGTTAAACACTGCAGTCTTTGACAGAGTGTCAATGAATTTTGACTACTTATTAGTCTATGCACATGCTATTCTTTGCCTACCAGGCAGATTTACAACCTGCTGTTGAGCTGCAAAACCATTAAATGACATCGGAGCAGAAGAAGATGGTGCCATCTCTTAGCACTGGAGTAGTAACAAGCTCACCACCAGGACAATGTGGAATATGTGGTTGTGGGCTAAAGCAGCTAGTGATAAGTTAATGCTTTGCTGTCAAAACACCAGGGTCTTCTAGCTATGTACTTGGTGGGAAAGTGAGGTGGCCTACTTGGTGGGCCAAGGATACAGTAGGATATCACTCTATCTGCTGTACATTGTTAATTTACAAATAATTAATATTTACAACATTCTACAATGTACTAAGGAAACTGTTTTCTACTGGACTTGGTCACTTCCTCTGTTCTGTATTTTAGAATACAAGAACAAACACACTGCAATGAAAAACTGTAAATAAACTCTCATGTGGTTTCTGAGTGCCCAGATAAGACATAAATGGCCAGAAAAGCTGTCTCCGCTTTGTTTGCTTAATATAGAGGAACATAACCTCTGCAATAAAATACTTTTACCTGAAGCTAATCTACTTTATCCTCTTGGATAACAGCTGTATATTATTTCCTCCCAAATATTTTTGAACTGCTTACGGCTGGTCATGCAGGCTTACCTGGAACTAGCAGGTCAGACAGCCCTCTTCTGCTCGTTTTTCAAGATATGAAAGTAGAGGCTCTTGAAAAAAGTGTCACCATCTTGATCCAGTATTAGACAACTGAAACATCTGAGTTTGTCCTCAATGAATAAAGAACATTAACCTGTGGAGTTTTCAGTACGAAAACTACGCATCACCTATTGTGAGATTTTTGCAATATGGCTTGTTTTGTAACTCACTTTCCTCTCCTGTACTATGTGATGTTACCTGCTGCAAGAGTATGTGCAGCATGTATGTATACTGTAATGTAATATATCTAATGTTTGCAGCAAGTTTGCAGATGACACTAAGTTGGG